CTCCCCTGCTTGCGTTCTGTCTCTTTGTCTCTCTCTCTCTCTCTCTCTGTCTCGCTCTTAAAAATAAACATTAAAATAAAAATGCTAACAGGATGATGGGATGACTTCATTAACTGACTTTTGCAATTCACTCATTTATAGGATGCACAAGAAATAGAAACTGTTTTTAAGTGGGGGGTAATAAAAAAATAAAAATAAAACTAGGATAAAAAAGAGTGTATTCAAAAAAAAGTTATTCCATTGTGCTTACTGATCCTAATCATGTATTTTAACTCTATGAGGCCAGCATTACCTTCATTCCAAAACCAGACAAAGACTCCATTAAAAAAGAGAACTACAGACCAATCTCCTTGATGAACATTGATGCAAAAATCCTCAACAAAATATTAGCCAACTGGATCCAACAATATCAAAAAAATTATATACATATAATACATATATATATAATTTTGAGATATATATATATCATACATATATATATAATTTTGAGATATATATACACATATATATATCAAAAAAATTACCACCATGGTAGTCCCATGACCAAGTGAGATTTATACTTGGGTTGCAGGGCTGGTTCAATATCCGCAAAACAATCAATATGATTTATCACATCAATAAAAGAAAGGACAAGAACCACAGGATCCTCTCAATAGATGCATAGAAAGCATCTGACAAAATACAGCATCCTTTCTTGATAAAAACCCTTAAGAAAACAGGGATAGAAGGATCATACCTCAAGATCATAAAAGCCATATATGAAAGACCCAATGCTAATCTCATCCTCAATGGGGAAGGACTGAGAGCTTTCCCTTTAAGGTCAGGACCAAGACAGAGATGTCCACTCCCACCACTGTTATTCAACACAGTATTAGAAGTCTTAGCCACACCAATCAGAACAAAAAGAAATAAAAGCCATCCATATGGGCCAGAAGGAGGCCAAACTTTCACTCTTTGCAGACGACATGATACTCTATATAGAAAACCCAAAAGATTCTACCAAAAAACTGCTAGAATGGATCCAGGAATTCAGCAAAGTGGCAGGATATAAAATCAATGCACAGAAATCAGTTGCATTCCTATACACCAACACTGAAGCAACAGAAAGAGAAATCAAGGAATCAATACCATTAATTGCACCAAAACCATAAAATACCTAGGAATAAACATAATCAAGAGGTGGAAAATCTATATACACTGAAAGCTATAGAAACCTGATGAGGGAAACTGAAGAAGACACACACACACACACACACACACACAGGAAAAATATTCCATGCTCCTGGATAGGAAGAACAAATACTGTTAAAATGTCAGTACTACCCAAAGCAAAGTACGTATTCAATGCAATCCCTATCAAAAAAACACCAGCCTTCTTCACAGAGCTAGAACAAACAGTCCTAAAATTTTTATAGAACCAGAAAAGACCTCGAATAGCCAAAGTAATCTTGAAAAAGAAAACCAAAGAGGCATCACAATCCCAGACTTCAAGCTGTATTACAAAGCTGTAATCATAAAGACAGTATGGTACTGGCAAAAGAACAGACACTCAGATCAATGGAACAGAATAGAGAACCCTTGAAATGGACCCACAAACATTTGGCCAACTCATCTTTGAAAAAGCAGGAAAGAATAATTCAATGGAATAAAGACAGTCTCTTCAGCAAGTGGTGTTGGGAAAACTGGACAGTGACATGCAGGAAAATGAACCTAGATCACTTTCTTACACCATACAAAAAAATAAACTCAACATGGATGAAAGACCTAAATGTAAGGCAGGAAGCCATCAAAATCCTGGAAGAGAAAGCAGGCAAGAACCTCTTTGACCTTGGCCACAGCAACTTCTTACTCAACACATCTCCAGAGCAAGGGAAACAAAAGCAAAAATGAACTATTGGGACCTCATCAAAATAAAAAGCTTCTGCACAGCAAAGGAAGCAATCAGAAAAACTAACAGGCAACCAATGGAATGGGAGACCATATTTGCAAATGACATATCAGATAAAGGGATAGTATCCAAAATTTATAAAGAATTTATCAAACTCAACACCCAAAGAACAAATAATCCGGTGAAGAAATGGGCTAACAACATGAACAGACACTTCTCCAAAGAAGATATCCAGGTGGCCAACAGACACATGAAATGATGCTCAATATCACTCATCATCAGGGAAACACAAATCAAAACCACAATGAGATACCACCTAATAGCTGTCAGAATGGCTAAAATCAACAACTCAGGCAACAACAGATGCTGGTGAGGATGTGGAGAAAGAGGATCTCTTTTACACTACTGGTGGGAATGCAAACTGGTACGGCCACTCTGGAAAACAGTATGGAGATTCCTCAAAAAAATAAAAACAGAACTACTCTACAACCCAGCAACTGCACTACTAGGTATTTATCCAAAGGATACAGGTGTCCTGTTTCAAAGGGACACATGCACCCCAATGTTTATAGCAGCACTATCAACAACAACCGAAGTATGGAAAGGGCCCCAACGTCCATTGATGGATGAATGGATAAAGAAGATGTGGTATATGTATACCATGTTGTATTACTCGGGGGGTGCCTGGGTGGCTCAGTTACGCGTCTGACTTCAGCTCAGGTCATGATCTCACAGTTTGTGGGTTCGAGCCCCACATCAGGCTCTGTGCTGACAGCTAGCTCAGAGCCTGGAGACTGTCTTTGGATTCTGTGTCTCCTCTGTCCCTCCTCTGCTCATTCTGTCTCGCTTTCTTTCTCAAAAATAAATTTAAAACAAACATAAAAAATAATGTTGTATTACTTGGCAATCAAAAAGAATGAAACCTTGCTATCTGCAACTACGTGGATGGAACTAGAGGGTATCATGCTAAGCGAAATTAATCAGAGAAAGACAAATACATGATTTCACTCATATGAGAACTTTAAGATACAAAACAGATTAACATAAGGGAAGGGAAGCAAAAATAATATAAAAACAGGGAGAGGGACAAAAATAAGAGATTCTTAAATATGGAGAACAAACAGAGGGTTACTAGAAGGGTTCTGGGAGGCGGGATGGGGTAAATGGGTAAGGGGAATTAAGGAATCTACTCTTGAAATCATTGTTGCACTATATACTATCTTGCATGTAAATTTAAAAAATTAATAAAAAAATAATGTATTTTAAGAAACAATCCCAAACCTTATGACCAAAATGGCAATATTAATACTTTTTGCGTCAAGTTCAGAAAAGTATAAAGTAAAATTATGATGGGTTCAGTTATGCACAGTGATTAAAGAAAGAATAACAAAACTTTATTTCCTGAAGTTCCTTTAAGGCTAAAATGTTCAGAATTCCATGTGAATGTGGTTTAATGACAAATGCATAAATTTCAAGATTGTTGTGGAAAACAAGAGAGTGGGTTATGTGTTAAAATACTTAAGGACAAACTAGTGCCTATGAATCTCTTCAGCTAACAGAATTAACAAGTATTAAATCTAAAGACAGAATCAATAGGTTTCAGCTTGGATAATAATAGGATGAGTATAATTTTATTTACACTAGTTATCATGTTAAGAATCGCACTCATTCACTGTAATTTTTTTCCCAAGTAAGCTCTACGTCCAACGTGGGGCTTGAACTCACAACTACAAGACCAAGAGTAGCACACTCTACTACTGAGCCAGCCAGGCACCTCTCACTGTAATTCTTATTCAAAGAAAATGAATTCTCAAATAGCTACTATTAGTCAGGTATTCTGTCTGGCCCTTGCAGTATCACAGTCTGGGGTGTGGATCTTACTTCCTTTGCACACAGATAAGAAAACTAAAGCCACTCTGAATCATAGCTTTACCCCTCTGACCCTTGAGAGTTCCTTAATTTCTCTAAGTTTGTTTGTTCACTTATAAAATGGGGCCAATAAACACCCATCTTCTAGTATTGTTATGAGAGTTAAGATGACACAGAATAAGCTCTTAATACAAAATAGCTATTAATTTCACTGTAATTAGTAGCTATATAGGTAATGGATGTGAATAAGATCAAATTCAAATTTTTTATTCTAAAACAGTGCTGTCTAGCAGAACTTTCTGAATGACAGAAATGCCATACTGCCTACTGAGCTTTTGAGGTGTGGCTAGTGTAACTGAGGAACTTAATTTCTAATTTCAGTTAATTTAAATTTAAACAGTCATGGGGCGCCTGGGTGGCTTAGTCAGTTAAGTGTCCGACTTTCGCTTAGGTCATGATCTCGCGGTTCGTGGGTTCGAGCTCCGCTTCGGGCTCTGTGCCGACTGCCAGCTCAGAGCCTGGAGCCTGTTTCAGAGTCTGTATCTCCCTCTCTCTCTGACCCTCCCCTGCTCACGCTGTCTCTCTCCTAGAAATTTAAAAAAAAAAAAAAATTAAAAAAAAAAATTTAAACAGTCATATATGATCGGTGCTACTGTACTCAAAGTGCATTTCAAAAGCCTATGTTTCTTTGTTTCTTTCATTGAAGCACGCTGCTCCAGTGAGGTATGTAAACTTTCTTTTTAGGCTCCCTCCTCTCCCTGTTGCCCACCTCCCGGTTTAGAGACTACATATAGGTGGCTGTGATATGTAAATCTGGGTTTAAGTATTTAGACTTCTGAGTAAGAATACTGCTCTACTACGTATGCACCAATTCTGGTATTAACTGCTTGAAAATAGGTCTTTACAGTTCTATAAATGTCACTCTATTTCTAGCCATTGAAGACAAATTATTTCCTCTTTAATTTTCTTTAATAACACATCTCATATAAAATGACCAAGGAATTTCTTATTCGTATGTTAAGTGTGTATGTATATATATATATATATATACACACACACACATATATATACATATGAGGTATTATTAAACTTTCATCCTGAGTACTTTAACACATATGATATTTATGTAATGAATACTTGAAAGTGTGGATAAAACTGATGTAAAATTATATATAAAAATATATCATGGATTCCTCCCAACCATTCCCATGAATGGAAACAAAACTATAGGGTGTTTTTCATCTTCTGTTTGTCACACATATGCCCACTTCAATTTTGCTAAGAGGTGTTTAATCATGTAACAGCTTCTTTCCCACAGAGGTATGCCACAACTGCTACATTAGAACAGCTGCAGACCAGTAGCTGTGGAAGAAAATAATGGGTTTTAAAACCAAAATCCAGTGCTAAGAATAGAGCATTTACTAGTTTAAGAAATAGATTTTCTTACAGTCACTGAAGTTTGATTCCACAAACAAAAGCTACTTCTGTTAAACCTGACCAGAAATAACAGTCAGAAGTCAAATTCCTTAACAAATTATAGCAACTCTAGTGAATTAGGAACCCAAAGGAAAACTAATATATTACATAATGTTTCTCAAATTTGAATATTTGCTCTTTAAAGAAAAAATTCTCAACAGAAAGACTATGTACAAGTATCCCAGTTTGAGAATTACTAATTTAGAAAACTTTATCTTATTCTATCTGAGATCTTTCAATTGCAGGCTATTACTACAAGAGATCTTTGCCTTTAACTGGTAAAATATATGCATTTTGTCATTCAAATAAACTCAAAACACTTAAGAATTAAAACAAAGCAAAACAAAAGCACCACACAAATACTGAGAATTTCTCTGAATGGAACCCTCAGACTTCAGTCTGGTACTATAATAGCAGACATATCAGAAACAATGTAACTCGGGAGAGAACACACAGGTTACTAACAGACTGTATTTCCAAGTAACCAACAGCAGCCACATCAACCCCAGTGGATATTTTCCGTTTTCGTACACACTACATGATTTAGATAAACCAACATAAAAACATATCATAAAAATCTGATAGGACTTTAAGTGTTAGTTCCTCATGTTAAATATTAGAAAAATGCTATAATCATGTATTTGGGGACAACACATGCTTACCTTGCTCTTTGACATAGAAAGTGAAGATTCATCTTTATTTTGAGAAATGTCTTCCTTTCCTCTGTCGAAACCTTTAAAAAATGTCATCATTTCAGTATTACCATATAGCATGCAGGCATTAAAAAGCAAATGCATATAAGTCATCCAATTTCAAATATAAATTATATTTTATGAACACTGGCACAAAAAGCCTATCCAAACACACAGTGTTAAACTATTATAGTTTAAAAGATTTCTACGGGATCATATGTAGTTTAATAACTCTCTAGAATAGGTTAAGGCTTACAAGGCAATGAAGTCTTTTCCTGACCCTGACCCTTTCAAGGTCAAGCTAAATACCTCTTTTCTGTGCGCCCAGAGCACTTTGCATAAATTCAGGCCTCACGGAGCTCTTATTCTAGCGAACTCTTTTCTAATGAAGAATCCTAACTGATAGAAACAACTCCACACACTTTTCACACCTCTTGCCAAACTGGAAACAACTCCAGAACTGGTTTTAAGAGACTAGGGAAATAAACCTTGATTCAGGGACAGACTTCACAAAATCTAACAGTATGCTTACTGTGAGAATTACATGAGGATCCATTTGAAAACACTTAGCATAGCATTTTCCACATAGTACACATTCAACTAATATTGACTCTTAAGATGATTGTTGGCACTAATGCTGTACAAATTCTAAAAAGATAAATCTAAAATGCACAAATGCACTGGGATAAACATGTACAGATTCCTACAATCGTGTATGTAATACATTAACATTACACTGTGCCGAAAGCAATTAACAAATTAATATTATAATACAATTAGAGAAATGTTAATACTGAAACTTGTGTGGTCCGCATAAAAGGAGTACTCATTTTAATAATGTTCCTTCTACTTATGAAGGCAAGTATTATTAACTCTTCCCTATGATTACTTGTTCTAAGTCCAATAAAAGCCTGTATTAAAAATACGTATACAATTATTCATAAAGCAGCACTTAAAAATCATCAGTAGTACCACTGCCTGAAGCATTTAAAAATCAGTTCTAATATACCATGATATCATTTAGTCTGCAATGGGTTTATATTAGCTAAAAACAAATCCATCCCAATTTTCTAATCTAGAGGTTTTACTGAATTGTCTTCTATAATATGAAGAAGGATTTGAATCTCTCCTCATTCCCCCAGTGCTGGTAAGGAGAACGATCACTGAAACCCAATACTAGGAGGAAAAAAACTTCATAAATGCAACATGAAATGTTAAGTAACTTACCAAATCTCAGACTTGAGTATAAAGCCAACCAAAGTTACATAATTCAGTTTAAAAATTCTAAAATATTTATTCAAAATATTTTGTAATACATAATTCTTAATACTAATAAACTCACATGAATTACTTCAAAGATCTAAGTATATGTACAAAAGAACAAAAATTTTCTAAAAGTATATATTGTAAATATTAAAAACTAATGTCATTTATTCTCACAAGAACAGACTTTAATTTCAATTTCTCTAGTGAGGTCTTGGGTTTCAGCTGAATCTAGCCCAATCCATTTATGAGATTAAGAGTAACACCCGTTTTTGGGTCTTTCACACATTATTTTATTTCTTGTGTATATTTTGAATTTCTTAATGTTTATTTTTGAGAGAGAGAGACAGAATGTGAGTGGGGGAGGGGCAGAGAGAGAGGGAGACACAGAATCCAAAGCAGGCTCCAGGCTCTGAGCTGTCAGCACAGAGCCTGATGCGGGGTGAACCCACGAGAGGTGAGATCATGACCTGAGCCAAAGTCAGATGCTTAACTGACAGCGCCACCCAGGTGCCCCCACACATTATTTTAAAAGCACAATAGTAAATTAAAACAAAAGTCAAAGTTATAAATCTGAATAGACTTTAACATGAAAATATGTCTCACAGAAAGTTTCAAATGTTACAAAAGGACACTCATAAACCTTTGTTGTAGATTTCCTGTCAAACTCAGTAAATGATTAATGATTTAAAAGCTGGCCCTGATGACTCCCATGTTACTTAGAATTACAGAGGGATAAAGCAAAATGCCAAAACTGGTCAAATACTTGGGGTTTCAACTAAGGGTAAATACAAGTAGATAATCAGCATAATATGCAAGGAATATAAAAAAATGTCCAAAAGCCTTAAGAAGGAAATATTGCCAGGTTGTACACTAAGTTTTCAAGGGTAATTCCAAAATAAGCAAAGCACAAAGTGCCACTCTTGACACTTTAGTCTGTATACAGCTCGTTTCCTAAAAATGTGTAAAATAAAAGTATATTTATTACAAGCCAAAAGAGCTCTGTCAAAATACTTCTTAGGCTTTTGTTTCGTTTTTACCATGTGTGGGGATTCAAAATACTTTAAAATTACTCCTTTATTTTTTAAAAGTGATATTTATAGACAAAATCCTGAAGCCTATAACACATTAATGACCATTACTAATAACATAGAACAGGGGTGCTTGGGTGGCTCAGTCAATTAACTGTCCCACTTTTGATTTTGGCTCAGGTCACGATCTCCTGATTTGTGAAATACAGCCCGGGGTCTGGCTCCTCACTGACAGCACAGAGCCTGCCTGGGATTATTTCTCTAACTCCCCCGCTGCCCCTTCCTGCTCTTGTGCACCCTCTCCTTAAATAAACAAACTTTAAAAAAATGCAGAACAATTTCAGATCATGACTTTTTAGCAAGTTTGCTTACTGGTGACTTTAGTAGTAATTTATTTTCCTACTATCTTCCCCACTGCCTCAATGATACAGAAACCTATATCCCCATCAAAATGCTAGAATTAAAAATGCTAATACTTCCCAAGTATAGATGAGAATGTGGAGCACTGTAAGTCTATTTGCTCCTGGTGAGAGTACAAAGTTTACTACTTTGGTAAACTATTTCAAAGTATGTACTAAATTTGAATGTATGGATATTCTAACACAAAGCAATTCTAATCCTAGATATACCCAAAAGAAATAGTTGTGTATATTCATCAAAAGAAGGTACAAAAATGTTCAAAGCAGCTTGGTCACAATAGCTAAAATCTGAAGCCAACTCAAATGGTTATTAATAACAGAATATATTGTAGTATATTTACATAACGGAATATTACACAGTAATGAAAAAGAACCAATTATTACTATAGAAAATAGACATAAATACTGCATGAAAGAAGCCATGCCCTCCCATTAAAGAAAAAAAAGGCACAAACTGTATGATTCCATTTATATAAAGTTGAAAAAACGGCAAATCTAATCTATAATGTTAGAGGTTGTTATAGGGGTCTATCTATGTTGTAGGAGGAACTGACTTAGAGGGGGATGAGGGAGTCTTCTGTGGATTTGGGAACTGGATTTGGGAACTATGTAAAATATAGCTCTTAAAATTCAAAAAGCTATACATTTAATATGTAAGTTATGCCTCAAAAAAAAAAAAAATAAAAGGGGCACATGGAGGGCTCAGTCAGTTGAGCATCCAACTCTTGATTTCAGTTCATGTCATGATCTCACAATATGTGAGATTGAGCCCTGCGCTGGGCTCTGCTGGGCTCTGCACTGACAGTGTGATAGAGTCGGCTTCGGTTTCTTGCTCTCCTCACTCTCTGCTGCTCCCCCATTTGCATATTCTCTTTCTCTCTCTCTCAAAATAAATAAACATTTTTAATGGGGAAAAATAAAAATATAAATTATAAATAAGTAAATACATAAATAAAAACTCACCCAGCCTTCTCTTTTCTTCTGGTTTATTAGACTTCTGCTTTGGCATCCTTCCTCAGTCTATATCCCTGTAACCAATTCTGTACCTAGCTAATTCTGATTCATTCATCAATAATGATAATTAACATAATATTAATGAAAACAAGAAAGCAACCAATGTCCATTTGTAAGAACACTTGTGATTATGACACTTATTCTAGATGCTTTAGTTTCTAATCTTTAAAACACCACCACAAAAATTCCCAGATACTGGGGTGCCTAGGTGGGTCAGTCAGTTAAGCGTCCAACTTCAGCTCAGGTGATGATCTCACAGCTTGTGAGTCTGCTCCTCATGTCAGGGTCTTTGCTTTGGATTCTGTGTCTCCCTCTCTCTCTGCCCCTTCCCAGCTCACACTCTGTCTCTCTCTTCCTCAAAGGTAAATAAACATTACAACACATTTTTTAAAAAACAAATTTATTTTAAAAATCCCAAATATTAACTCTATTTTATATAACTGAAAAAGCCAAGGCTCCCAGAAATTAAGTAACT